CAGCTTGACGGGCCATCAGCAGCGCGCGAGATCATGCCCGCAACCATCTAATGTAAATAAATAGGGTAGGTTCAGTATAAAATAGCCAGGCTTTACGGAATTTACAATCGATTTTAACATCTTGGAAACAAATTGATATGGTACTGCTTATCAGATGAATATCAATTCTGCCCAAACGGGACTAAAACTCCATGTAGGGCTAGCCAGTGTTTCGGTTTCGCATGAGCTTGTTTATCTTTTACTCTAAAATAAATATAATTATTTTAGCACATTTTCTATTATAGTACATTATAGATGTAGGAGCTTACGATGATATTAATAATAATCTAGCTTTTCTTTTCCGCTACCGTTAGCGGCAATATTTTTGCAAATCGGCGCTACTGGGCTTGGCGAAAGAATTGGAAGCTTGTAAAATAGCCAGCATGTAGTGTTATATTTTACACATATTACACAAAGGTGCAGGTAAGCAGCTTTGATAAAAAAAAATCACCCACTTTTTTAGAAGGGCGTTATTCCGTCCTACCCACAGCCCAGTGATTCACTGTCGTACGAGAAGTGGTATGCGTGCAGGATGCCCCGAAATGTTACGGAACGTGCGGGCGGAGTTTTCCGCATACAATGATCCCTCTACATACATCACTACTAGGTTTAGCTAATGTCATCGCATGATACTTTTAAGTGGGTCCCATCGTCGGCCATCATTATGCCAGCGGCTCAACGAATTCAGGCCACAGCTGAGTACCTTTATTGTATGGAGTTGTCATCAGCCTGCCAATATCTCCACCCAGAACATGCCGACTGCTATTATGCCGATGGGTCATTCTATTCTGTACATTATTTGAGGTCCCTATTCCTACTATTTTTGTCCTTCATACGATTGTTTAAGCGAAACCTTCACGCATGCACCAATCTGTTCAATATAAGGCCAACACTTGAAAGCTTTGGTATAGTAACGCATTCAATATTGAAATGATATGAAGTTAATTAATAATAAACTTAATACAAATAAATTAAGTACCCCGGTCAGGCTGTAATGCAGTAACGCTTAGGCTGCTGATAAGGTCCTGATTTCTCCACAATTCAAAAAAGCGCAACAAAAGGTAAGAGTGGGACACGATTGACCTGACAGCTTTATTACTCACATTATCTCGAAGCTTATGTACCACAATTTAGCTAGTTTTATATTATAACCCTGTAATGAATTAGCGCTCTACATTGGTGTATCAATCAGCTATACGTGCCTAAAAAAAGGTTTCGAGGTTAAGAACTATTAAGTGGATTGCCCGTGAAATTTTTCTTTGAAAACAGTCGATGGTATCGTCTCTTAATAAATCACGCGCACCCTAAATAATAATTTTCTATCTGTTTATTTGCCTATCTAAACACAACCAAAACTTTGGATCGCTTGATTTGTTTGCTCGCCAGACTGAAGTCAATCCCTCGAAGTGGTCGGATTGGACTCACTTTTGGCGGATCGCTAGAGTGCCATCCTGGGAAGCGCTGCGCATAAGACACCTGTTTCCCTGGGGAGTTTGTTTTTCTGTCCCATAGAGTGCAATGTTTATTTGAAAAAACTGCTCGTTTTTCTCGCAGAAATCTTTTACGTGTCTATGAAAAGGCTGTTAAGACTGACGTGGGCTCGATTTCAGTAGAATCTCCAATGAAAAATTCGTTTTACTGATAAAACGGCATCCGACTGCGTCTTTTGGAAATCTATAGGAAGAATCGTTCTTAATTTCACTAATCAAAAGCTCTCGACGAAGTAAATAGAAATGCAATACGTGTTTCTTAACATAAGACGGACGTTTCGACATGAACGCGGCCAAAAACCAATTGAGGGGTTCGTTTCGCCCACGTGTCGGTGGGGTGAAAATGTGATTTGATCCCTTTTTGGAGGCTCTTTCAAGCAAAACTTTTTGTTAATTGGCACGTGTTAATTGAAAAGTTCTAACCGCTGATGGGTAAATATTTTGGCTGAACCGAAGTATCAAAACATTTTTTTCTAAGCAAAGTGCCACTTTGTTGCAGTCGATATCTCTCGACAAGCTGAGTAAAAATATATTATATCTTCTTATAGCTAAAATAGATGTTTCGGCGTAATACAGCCAAAACCCGAATGGAGCAGTTTTTTTTTCGCTTGAGTGGTAGTCAGCCGAAATTTAAAGACGTAAATGTAGCACTTTGTTAAGCAGAAACAGGATCACTATATTGAGGGAGGCATATCAAATCATCACGAAGAGTTTATTTTACCTATATTCAGTTTAGTACATGGAACTATTTATTGTAAATGTGGGAAAAATGAAAAAATCCTATGCCTAGGTGACGCCGTAGCGCGGGACGAAGGCCGTGCTTCCGTCTAGCCTACCTCTACGCTACTAAAACCATGTTTGTTTGTCCAATTAAAATAGACCTTTTTTTTTAGTCGGCTTGCTAGAGTTTTATTTGGAATTAAATTACAGGTGAGGGAGGGGGGAAGGTCCATTCCGTAAGGCGTAATGGTAATTTGGGCAAGTCCTTCGTTTTGTGCATAGTTTGCCCTTTTTGGAACGTTTTTTTTTATGCAGGAATACCCTATGCATGTTTGTGAAAAGGTTGCAGGTACTTAGATGGAGCAGATTTTAGTGCAGCATTTGTAGAAACAATTCTTCCAATGACAAAATGGAAGTCGAGTGTTTACATTGAGGTTTATGTGGGGTGGATCGTACTTGACACCAATCAAAAGCTCTTGCCGTACGATGCAACGATACAAATCGCTATACTTAAATCTCAATTTCAACGTTAAACGTGTCCCACAGGGCAAAAACCTAGCTCAGTGTTCCATCTCAAGAGGATTTCCTTGACATTAATCGCTATATCTCGACAGGTTAAATAAAGGCATAAATGAAAAATAAATAAAAAATATTTCCATGTGCAAATGGTCAAAAAGCAATTACGTTCATGATAATAGAGCAAAACCGCATGTTGGGCTACTATTGAGTGTTTTTTCGAGCAAATTTCTGATACGTATAAACATTACTTATCAGAAATTTTAAAAAAATTATAGTAGCTAATAAAACAACCATTTCAGTTGAATATTATTTGCAAAAATACTTTTTGAAATATTTTCTGAGAAAAATATCACTTGAAGAGCCCATTTTTTATACCAACCGATTAATTTCGACGAGCTAAGTGAAAATGCATGTATACGTGCAATACACACACAATACAAGCAATTTTTCTATAGTTAAATTCTATATTTCTATGGGGAAAAGACCAAAATGTAAATGTGGTGGTTTTTTAGCTTGTGTTTTATATAGAAGTCAATGTAATGAGTGTTTGTGGGTTTCAATCTAAAGCTCTTGGTAAGCTAAACTGCAATGCAGTACATGCTCATATACTAAATTTTTAGTTATTAGCCGAAAATTGTCATATGAAGAAAGAATAGTTAACATAGTGTTCTTTCTACGTGTGGGTGTTTTTCTTGGCGCCAACTAATAGATTTCGACGAGTTAAATTAAAAAGCAAATACATATATTTACAATGGGTATTTTTGAGGGAAAAATGCGAAAACATTATTATATAGTGTTGTTCAATTACCTGGGTACCGATAAGGTGACAGAAGGGAATCAAAGGCTTAGCCGATCTGGTCAATCTCAGCGTTTTTAAAATTTGAGCGAAAACCTATAAAACACAGAAGAGATCATCGAACGTAACAAAAATCAACAGATTATGAACCCTGGGAAACCTATTCAAACACTAGTTGAAATAACTGTTAGTCTGTCCTACAGTTTACGTTAGGTTCATCCTCAATGAATCAAATTAGGCGCACCCTACAACGACAAAACAGGCGTGGAGATCGACGTGTTCGTATTATTAGATCACGTCGAGTACGTGTATAGCACTGTTCACAGGTGTCTACGTACAATGACAATTTTCGGTTAGAGGATATAGTAAATCTATGTCAACATTTCATTCGGAGTGGCTGAACGCTGAGTAATGTGTTCTTCTCTTTATGTAAACACTACCTCATAGACATAAACAAGTTACGCATTTGTGCGGTTAGGGTAATTGTTATATGCGCATATATGTATAAATAAAAAGGAGGGGCGCTGTGAGACAAATATGGCGTCCGTAACTGTAGACGCGAACAAGTCAATGAAACGACCTCTTTTTATTACTATCGCAATGATACGTTCGTAGTTGATAACCCGGCAGATTTTTATAAGGCAGCGCAGTAAGTCGAGTTCGCAAATGAAATTAATATGGATCCCAATTATTAGAACGTGTTCGTTTTCCCCCTAATAACGGCTTTATTACACTAAACATTCACAAATGTTGAATCATTCATTGGAAATAAAGAGATTCGTATTTACATATAGTTAGCAATTATATCTAAGATCTCTATACGTTTATATATATAACCATAGACGACATTCAATTTATAACCCAGAACATCGAGATATTTAGCGATACTACGTATGGTATAGGCAATAAAATGTCATTTGTAAAAACTACCTAGTCACATTGAAAACAATGTACAGAGTGCACCGTTCATAGCACTACAAAACGTCAAGCAAACAAAGTCTTTGGCTATTGGTATAACAGCCTACATTGTAGCGTTTAAGGTTGTAAGGTAAGTTTAAGGTAAACATTGATCTCGCAAGCTCATTGTTTCTCCTAGAAGTTACACCTTCTACTTCGATGGCAAACTTTTTCCATACGCTAGCTTTAATGAGCCACATTTAAGTACAAGTTTATACTGTCCACAACGGCGTTTCTAGTAGCTGCGCTACTGTTATAACTCAACTAGACTAGGATAGTTGCGGATTAGTGGGTAAGCTCTAGTGACCAGCGTAGCTTGATAGTAAAGTTGGACTGCGTCAGATATTCCGGGATAAACGATCAACAATTTGTTGAGCGCATTTGAAAATTTGCCTTAGCATTGTTTTATAGCTATATAAAAACATAGTCTCACGTTATTTCAAACATGCTTTTTTTCTGACTATTACACTGACGTACAG